TTGTTTTGGCAAAATGCCTCCAGGTAATGGAAAGTCTTTGGTCATCTTGCATGAACCATGTGTTTGAGATCCCAAAAGTGGAGCAATGATATAAAGGTCAGGAAACTGATTGACATTCCAGAACCCTCATCTTTTTCTGCTGTAACCACTGGAGGGTACACTTGCCCTTGTGCTTGGGGTCATTGTTGTGTTGGAAAGTCCAGAAGCGTGCAGAAGAATGTAAATTGTCTGGCAGTATTTTCGGATAACATGCTGCATTCATCTTGCCATCAATTTTGCACAAGATTCCCTCTGCCTTTAGAGCTCACACACCTGCAAAACATCAGTGAGCCACCACCATGCTTCACAGTGGGGATGGCATTCTTGTTGCTATAGGTCTTGTTGACCAATCCAAACATAGTTGTGACCATAAAGCTCTATTTTGGTCTCATCAGATTACAGTGTCCCAGAAGCTGTGAGGTATGTCATGGTGTTTTTGGGCATATTGTACCCTTACTTTTTTGTGACATTGGCGCAGTAAAGGCTTTCTGGCAACGCTACCATGCAGCTCAAGTATTGTAATGTGATCCTTGAAATAACCACATTGTCTTTTCCCAGAGCAGCCTGTATTTCTTCTGAGGTTACCTGTGGGTTTTTCTTTGTATCCCAAACAATTCTTCTGACAGTTGTGGCTGTAATCTTTCTTGGTCTACCTGACCTTGGCTTGGTATCAAGAGATTCCTGAATTTTCCACTGTGTTTGAACAGTACTGACTGGCATATTCAAAGCTTTGGATATCTTTTTATATCCTTTTCCATTTTTATAAAGTTCCATTACCTTGTTACGCAGGTCTAATGACAGTTCTTTTCTGCTTCCCATGGCTCAGTATCTAGCCTGCTCTGCGCATCCACTTGAGAACTAACAAACTCATTGACTATTTATACACAGACACTAGCTGCAATTTAAAAAGCCACAGATGTGGGAAATTAACCTTCATTTGCCATTTTAACCCGTGTGTGTCACCTTGTTTGTCTGTACCAAGGCTAAACATTCCAGAGTCTGTAAACTTTTGATCATGGCCATTTGGGTGATTTCTGTTCTCATTATGATTCAAAAAGGTGCCAAACAACAAGTAATAATAAATGGGTTCATATGATCATCATCCTTAAATAAAAGACAGTTTTTAGCATGATCAGTCATATTTTCAATAACAATGCCAAAATGTCATGATTTCTGCCAGGTATGCAATTTTTTTAGCACAACTGTATATATAATTTGTCCTCAGGTTTATGTGTGTCTGTAAAACTACTGTATCTTTTGTGTCAATGTAATTACAAATATAGTATTTTGTACAAGGACAGTGTGAAATGTGTGCAGTGTGTACTGTGGGTAGGCTCAGACTCTATGTAGTCAAGACCCTTTAAACTACACCCGATATGCACAGCATTGTAGCCACTTCCAATGTAACCTGAATGATCCGAAGACTTCATTGGACTGCATCAATTTGTACTTACAATAAGCTGCCACTATCAAACAATGCCTATTTTAGTATGTTCCCCTCAGAAAAGTCTATACGGATAATTTGTCAAGCAGAGGGCACTCCTTCAACCCTTCGCTAGTGGGCCCCAGGTACTCTAGTCTGACCCTGTCTTACCTTAACTCCCCACACGATGTTTACATACAGTATGTGTGGAATAGCCTCAGCTACCTGATCTGGTACCAAATTGATGAGAATATCAAAGATTTACAAGCTCATTAACACTGAAGTAATATATCCTGTGGGCTTTTTTTACTCCCTATTTTTCTTGTTTTGATTATAGGGATGGGATAGATTATGTATTCATTACAGGTACTTATATAGTGCCATCAATTTATGCAGCACTTTACATATATATATACTACATTCATATCAGTCCTTAACCCTCAAGGGGTGTACAATGTAAGGTCTCTTACACTCATACATACACATAATAGGGCCAATTTAGACAGGATTCAATTAACCTACCAGCATGTCTTTGGAGTGTGGGAGGAAACTGGAGTACCCGGAGGAAACCCATGCAGGCACAGGGAGAACATGCAAACTCCAGGCCGGAGGTGCCATGGTTGGGATTTGAACTAATCACCCTAGTGCTGCCAGGTGGAAGTGCTAACCATATAGCCACTGTGCTGCCCAATTAAAATGTAAATGGTTGAAACAAGTAATTTTGGGTACCGTTTGGTATTTTTTTTTTTTTTTTATGTATTTTTGTTTATATTGAGATGTTTTTCTATGGTATATGACAAAGTTTTCGGACCTTTGGACTTGCTTGTTTAGCAGCAGTGGTAATCTGGAAAACGTTATTTAAATTCCGTTTTTGGGATCTCTGCTGTGTCTTTGTTGAGAAGAGCTATTGTTGGATCAGGAGAAAGGGCATTACCAAATAGTATTGATATCATCCCAATTACTTCCGCCCAATAGGGTTGATTTACTAAAGGAAAATAGACCTTGCACTTTACAAAGTGCAGTTGCACTCTGCAAGTGCTGTTGCTCCAGAGATTAGTAGATGAGGTACAGCTTCACTTTACAAAGAATACCCAATTACATGCAGGGAAAATTTAAAAAAAACAGTATTTTTGCTTGCATGTGATTGGATGATGGAAGTCAGCAGAGCTTCTGCTCATTTACTAAGCTCTGGAGCAACTGCTCTTGCAGAGTGCAATTGCACTTTGGAAAGTGCACAGTCTAATTGCCTTTAGTAAATCAACCCCCCAATAAGTCTTCAATAATGGACACAACCACCAAATATGGAAATATGTGCCCACCTCTGCACGGTCTCAAAAACAGGCCGAGGAAGAATTGGGTACAGATTTACTTTGCTTTATGAACTGGTACTAGATACCATTGGGAGAGCATTTTAAACAAGGTTTCCAGGGCTGCTCTGTCTGTGAGTAAGATTTAGTAGCCTGTCAGATGTCGGTCCACTCCTTGCGTTCTATTGTGACATTGAGGTCAGAGGTCCACTTGTGCATGGAGTGAAGATATACAGTAGAGTGGTTAACACATGGAGTACAAATGAGAAATGAGGCCTGCCAAGTGGAAATCTATAGATATTCGGTCCATAGAAGACCTTGTTGGAGTAGCAGACTCATAAATGTTGGGGCCTGCTAGGCAATAGAGGCCTTTGAAGCCCAGAGTTGACCAGACCACAATAGAGTCCAGGGTGACTTTGACCAGGTAGAAAGATGGGTGGCAAATAAATAATAGTAGTAGTAGTGGGTGGTGCTGGGAGCGCAATTAAGACTGTTTCATGCAATCCCACAGGCACAAAGGATAAAGAGTGACAGGGTTGGATACTGTAGCCTTCTTGGTATTTTTGAGCCACAGAATAATATGAATAGTAAACTGGTCATAAGATTCTAACCCAACCCACAATGGAATTTCCCAGGTAGCGTGGTATTAGATATCAGCATGATATTTGTGGAGGGCCAAACCACCCTTGGGGAAAAACACATAAAATTTAATAATTAAAATATATATATATATAAAAAAAAGAACCAAAACTACTATGCTCTGCCTGTACCAAATAGTATTTTGCCTAGTGAAGTAAACATGTAGCCTATGAAAGTCTGGTGCTTGTATAAGGCGGCTGTCACCTGAGTATTTAAAGAGAAGACAATGAAAGAGTTCTATGAAACACTAGCAGAGCCCTGGAGATAGGGTTACTGCCTCTAGGATTCAGCCTACACCTGCGTGTCTCTCACCTGAAGATTTCATTGCAAGATGCCCTTTTGCATGCAGTCTGTGTCACAGAAAGTGCTGCATATCAACCCCAATCCTCATACTGAAGCCCGGAAAATTGTGCCAGAAAATGGGACATCACATGGGTGTGCAGATGGGAATATACATGGCTGGTAACAAGTGGTATTGTTGCTGCATGGCGGTGCCAAGGATGATTTCTCCACAGTTCTAGGATGCCCGGGTGCTTCAAGAAAATCATATTCTCCTTGTCCGCAGCTTGTAGTTTTGCATCTTTTGTGCTGATCATTGTTTCCATGGCGACTCAGAAATGGATGACTGGAAAGATTCTGTGTCAGACCGGAGTAGACCTGGTCAATGCTACAGATCCAGAGCTAGTGAAGTTTATTGGGGACATCTACTACGGGCTCTTCGAAGGTGGTAAAGTACGGCGGTGTGGACTGGGAAAACGAACGTTTACATTTAAAAAGGTAATTTTATAATACATTCTTAAATCCTTGTAAAAATGATTAAACAAGTAGATACAGCTAATACAAATACTGCATTCCATTTTTTTAAGGCCATAGCATTCAGACTTCATCTTACAGGGAAAAAGTTCCTACATACAAGAGAAATAGGAAATGCAGGTCACTGGTAAGACGCAGCAACATATTCCTGCACAGTCTGTGAGTTCCAGGATTAGTGTTACCATGTAATACAACATTCAGTCTGTAGTGTCGAAGGACCGTGTAATATTGAGAATACCAGCTCAGTATCAGGGCAGTACTCTGCTGCAGAGTCAGTGAAAAAAGCATCAAAACTGTGCATTTCTTCAAGACCAGCCTCAACCTTTCTACTTCCGAGGAGCCCTTGAATTCATTTTCATGTATTTGCTAAAAAGGCTTTCTATCCACGGTTCATGGTACTTTACCATGATGAATAAGTTGAAGAAATGTTTTAATAAATAAGAAATGTGGGGTACCTCACATATTTAACGCTCAGGACAGTTAAGTGTCCAACCAACTCCAAAATAATTTTCACTAATATTCTTGAAATGAAAAATAGCTGCAAAAAAAAAGACAGTAAAAGTTGTGGTATTATCTAAGACACAGGTGTCAAACTGGTGGTGGTCCTCCAGCCAGGGGCGGACTGACAACTCATGGGGCCCCCGGTCAATAGGGGATCATGGGGCCCCTGTGTCCTTGCCCAAACTCAAAAAAGCCTATGAAAAAGGTACCAGGGGCATCTCATGGGGCCCCCTACTGACCTGGGCCCTCAGGCAGTGCCCGAGTTTCCAAATGGTCAGTCCGCCCCTGCCTCCAGCTGTCGCCAAACTACAAGTCCCATGAGGTATTGCATGACTGACAGTTACAAGCATGACTCCCAAAGGTAGAGGCATGATGGAACTTGTAGTTTCACAACAGCTAGAGGGCTGCCAGTTTGACACCCCTGATCTAAGACTAGTGATCAGTATAGAAGTTACCCTTTTCATTGGTGGTTATTGGAAAATTGCACCCTTGCATTGATGTTCAGTGTAGGTGGGAGTTCAGTCCACTGTTGCTGGCTGCACTAGGTGTCATTTCTGTCTGCTGCTTGCTGCTTCATTTCTCTGCTATCAGCATGAGTCACCTCTGAATAATTTTCCTGACACCTAGAGAAAAATGGTGACAGGGGAGGGAGCTCCAGCACATTGACAGCCACAGCTCTGTTCTTGTGAGCTGTGCGGAAGGGAGGGGTGTTGCTTCCCTCCAATTACCACTCAGAGCTCTTCTAATTGATCTCTGTAGTGTGTGATTTTAGCTCTCCGTCTCCTTTTTTCTGAACTCTCAGACAAGCTTTAAATTCAGCACTTCGGACAGATGTAGAGAAGAGAAGACTGCAGATAAACAGATACAACCTATGTAGGAGGATGTCGAGTGGCCACCAGAACAAGAATAAGAAGGGGACATTTGTTCTTGTGACAACTGTCTAAGAGGGGATTTCCCTAACATTGGAAAGATATCCTCTCACTTCCTTTGGGTCTACAGGTCGGGAATTGATGAGACAAAGATGGCAAGGAAAAAAAACTGACAGCTGCTTACCTTCCTCTAATCTATTCAGAATAATAAAAATCGGGACTTTTGATATACTTGGAGGAGCATCTTATAGAAGAATTCTAGGATTTTTTTCCCCATGCAGTGGGGCTGTGCCTGCACTGCATTGGTTATCTGCATGTTTTTGCCTAGGGGAGATATTTACCTAATCCACCGATCTTCCCAGCACAGGACCAGTCCCTGGCACTTCTGCCTCCCTGCACGCTAGTGGTATTATCAATGGACTGTTCCTGACGTCATCACGCCCATATACTAGCTCAGGACGTGAGGATGGCAGGAACATTCCACTCCTGGATGTGGAGGAGCGTGGTGAAAAGAAGTGCGAGAAAAATTTTAACATGGAGTTCTGCTTTAAAGAATTGAAGGCAAAGAAAAAGCTGACAAGCGCTTTAAACATTTACAATTCTATACAAAATTATTAAAAAAAGTGCTTCAGATATACTTTGAGCTGGTCATAGACAGTTTTTATTTTAGGTTGAAAAAAAAACACATTCCCCTGTCCACACAAAAGCAGTGGAGGAATTCCATTGCTGGAACATTGTATTCTGCCAGCGCGACTTGAAGTTTCAGAATTTATTTGTCATCAGCTGCAGCTGATTGACTGCAACCGCAGACCAAGGAACAGTTTTCAGCATGTCCCTTTGACAGACGTCGATCAACTTCTGTCAAGCAGGGACAGGCACACACTGGAATTCAGCCAGTTCTTGTTGGCCAGTGGATGGCCAGCTTTAAGAATTAGACAGATACAGTATATTGAATTTGAATGCCCTTTTATTAAATGTCCAGCAAAACTGGATTATGTTATGTATTGGATAGGATTTATTTATAATCTTTGGGTGATTAATAAATAACATTTATAGATGTACAGTAGAAGAAAGTTAAAGTCCAATTCAAGCAAATATACAGTGCCTTGAAAAAGTATTCATACCCCTTGAAATTTTCTGCATTTTGTCATGTTACAACCAAAAACGTACATGTAATTTATTGGGATTTCATGTGATAGACCAACACAAAGTGGCACATAATTGTAAAGTGGAAGAAAAATTATAAATGGTTTTCAAAATTTTTTACAAATATCTGAAAAGTGTGGCGTGCATTTGTATTCAGCCCCCCTTTACTCTGACACCCCTAACTAAAATCTAGTGGAACCAATTGCCTTCAGAAGTCTCCTAATTAGTAAATAGAGTCCATCTGTGTGTAATTTAATCTCAGTATAAATACAGCTGTTCTGTGAGGTTTGTTAGAGAACACTAGTGAACAAACAGCATCATGAAGGCCAAGGAACACACCCAACAGGTCTGGGATAAAGTTGTGGATACATTTAAAGCGGAGTTAGGTATAGAAAAATATTTCAAGCTTTGAACATCTCATGGAGCACTGTTCAATCCATCATCCGAAAATGGAAAGAGTATGGCACAACTGCAAACCTACCAAGACATGGCCGTCCACCTAAACTAACAGGCCGGGCAAGGAGAGCATTATCCAGAGAAGCAGCCAAGAGGCCCATGGTAACTCTGCAGGAGCTGCAGAGATCCACAGCTCAGGTGGGAGAATCTGTCCACAGGACAACTATTAGTTGTGCACTCCACAAATCTGGCCTTTATAGAAGAGTGGCAAGAAGAAAGCCATTGTTGAAAGAAAACTATAAGAAGTCCCATTTGTAGTTTGTGAGAAGCCATGTTGGGGACACAATAAACATTTGGAAGAAGGTGCTCTGGTCAGATGAGACCAAAATTGAACTTTTTGGCCTAAAAGCAAAACGCTATGTGTGGCAGAAAACTAACGCTGCACATCACCCTGAACACACCATCCCCACTGTGAAACGTGGTGTCAGCATCATGTTGTGGGGATGCTTTTCTTCAGCAGGGACAGGGAAGCTGGTCAGAGTTGCTGTGAAGATAGATGGAGCCAAATACAGGGCAATCTTAGAAAGAAAACCTGTTAGAGTCTGCAAAAGACTTGAGACTGGGGCAGAGGTTCACCTTCCAGCAGGACAATGACCCTAAACATACAGCCAGAGCTACAATGGAATGATTTAGATCAAAGCATATTCATGTGTTAGAATGGCCCAGTCAAAGTCTAGACCTAAATCCAATTGAGAATCTGTGGCAAGACTTGAAAATTGCTGTTCACAGATGCTCTCCATCCAATCTGACAGAGTTTGAGCTATTTTGCAAAGAAGAATGGGCAAATATTTTACTCTCTAGATGTGCAAAGCTGGTAGAGACATCCCCAAAAAGATTTGCAGCTGTAATTGCAGGGAAAGGTGGTTCTACAAAGTATTGACTCGGGGGGGATGAATACAAATTATTTGCCACTTTGTGTTGGTCTATTAGATAAAATCCCAATAAAATAAATTTACGTTTTTGGTTGTAATATGACAAAATGTGGAAAATTTCAAGGGGGTATACTTTCTCAAGGCACTGTAGAGAGTGGAAGGGTTAGATCTGCTGTTAGAATTGTTTTAATATTATTGTAAACACTTTAAAGATTGCTCCTTATGGGAAGTCACCCTGTCAATCCATTTCACACAAGCGTTGAACCTTCCTTACTCCTACTCTATTCAAAACTTTAGAAAAAATTTTGTTGGATATGGGATTCACTTCCTGATTGATGATCATACAGAAAGCACTTCTCTATTCTAAAATCAGGATAGTGGACAGCAAAGCCATAGTAAGCTGCACTTACAAAAATAAAACAAAATGACAAACATTTGCACAAATATTTAATCACTTCAGTACTGGACACTCACCCCCTTCCTGCACAGGCCAATTTTCAGATTTCAGTGCTGTCATACTTTGAATGACAATTATTCAGGCATGCAACACTGTACCCAAATGAAATTTGTATCTTTTTTTAGACAGAGCTTTCTTTTTTGGTGTTTAACCACTTCAATACTGGCCGCTTTCACCCCCTTCCTGTGCAGGCCAATTTTCAGCTTTCAGCGCTGTCACACTTTGAATGTCAATTGCGCAGTCATGCAACACTGTACCCAAACTAAATTTTTAGAATTTTTTGAGACAGATAGAGCTTTCTTTTGGTTGTATTTCAAACAGAGCTCCAGTCAAAACTACAAAAAATGAAAGTTAGCAGCTACAAAAACTGTAGCTGCTGACTTTTAAAAAACAGCCAATTACCTGTCCCACAATCCAACACTGTACTCACTGCAGTCAGTTTCATCGGCCGTCCTCGCTCCCTGGCACTGGCAGCTTAAGTGTGGGCACCCGGCTGTGACAGCTTGTGGCTTCACAGCAGAGTGCTCACTGCGCATGCGCAAGTAGCGATGCACCTTATGAATGGTCCTGTAGTCTTCTAGGACCTGTCATGTGTCCCAGGAGACTTTGGGGAGGGAGAGGGGGAGGACAACCTTCACTTCTGATCACCTAGGCGATCACAGCAGAAGTGGGAGTAGGTACCCATTCCCCCACGCTCCCCAAAGGTGCCAGTTTCCTCATGGGGAGAAGGTGACCAGTACTTTAAGTGGAACTTTCCCTTTTGGGTGGAGATCTACTTTAAGCTTTTTTATTTATACTAAACAAATGGAAAAAGACTGAAAATGTCTTCATTTCTGTTATAATATTTTGCAAATAAGTAATTTTTCTTCTTCACTGATGTGCACTGATGACACTGCACTGATGAGGCAGCACTGATGAGCACTGATGAAGAAGCACTGATGAGGCTGCAGTGATAAGGCTATACTGATGGGCACTGATAGGTGGAACTGATAGGCTGAACTGATGGGCACTGATATGCTGAGGGATACAGCTCACCACCGATGGCCACACTGTGCACTCAAAATGGGGACAATGTCATATGATGTCTTCCCAGAACGAGAGAGGTCCCGCAGTGCCGTTATTGTACAATAGACCAAGTGGGAATCAGTTAATCACCATTGGGCTTTTTCATTTTTTTTTTGGTATATAAACAAAAAATACTAATAATTTTTAAAAGAAACTTAAATAAAGGAATGCGCTAAAACCACAAACTATTCCTAATTTAGTGTAGAAACATTAGTGCAAAAGATATATATATATATATTCTCAATTAATATCAAAAAATATCAAAATTATGTGCAAAACTATTTTTTAGTGCAGAAGTAATTTAAATAATTAAATTTGTGAATATAAAAATTGTCCTCCTGGAACCGTTATATTGAGTGGTGGATACCTACCTTACGGATGATTATGTAGCTATTGATCATCACACCTGAGAAGTTGATTCATTGCATCTGCTCCCAGAGCAAAAAGCGTTTTTTGCTGATCTAAAGATTGATCAGCATGGAGCTCTGGTGAGTTACCCAACTTTACTTTGGTGGTGGATTTTGGCACAATTTCTTTGAGAGCACCTGAATTTGAAAAGGATTTGTTTGGACATT